TGTACAATATACTGAGAAAAATGTTCATGTTTTTGTTCCTGTTTTTCTTTATGCTGTTTAACTACGCTCATTGTTCAGATTAAGAGAATTATTTCAAGTGAAAAATGGTGTAACTACGTCGTTACTATTTTTTTATTTCTTTTTTATTTATTTATTATTTTTTTGAAAATGCTAAAAATTTGGGTCGGTCGGACGACGGTAAATGGAGAAAAAAAAAGAGGATGTAATACATCAATTTAAACCGGTTTTATTTAAAATGAAATATACAACAATTATTCACCAAAGTGGAGGTGGCTAGTGTTGGACAATTAAACACTAGCCACCGACACTGAGGTGAATAATTGTTTTAGTATATACTAAAACAGTGAGATAATTGAGCACAAAAATGATGATTTTTAACTCATTTACTGTTGCCAATGATTACAATTTGGCACGCAATGACCGAACGGCCGCGGTAGTCGCTTTTTCTTGCCGACAAATAAAACTTTTGAAGGCATTTGTTTAGCTCTTGGCAGGAAATTTCTTCAAAGGGAGTGAATTCTTTTTGTACTTTTTGTGCTCTGTAAAAAATATTATTAAATTTAGTTTTAAGCTTATTTTTGAACAAGTCAACTAAGTAAAGTAACGCGAAACTTATGCTTAATTTTGCATTTGTAAACAAAAAATTTTTTCACCGGTTTTATCGATAAATTCGAGTCAAAAAGACAAAGCTTTACCTGTTAAAACTTCAAAACCGAACTTCGTCACCTTCTTCGTGTATTTCGGAAACAGCTTGGTTGATTACTTGTGAAATTTATTTGTTTGTTACGGCAACAAACCGTGAAGGCCTTTTTGCTCGCAACTTACGCAAGTTTGGCGTCGCTCGCTCTGAGAAACTGGAGGTGAATCAGTGAATAGATATTCAGTGATTGAGTAACCAATCAGGGCGCGCGAAAAACACTATCCACTGCTTTAGTATATACTAAATCTGGATAAATTGGCGACTATGGTGGATCAAGATGGCAGATGGGGGCTTATATCCGTGGGGAGGGAAAGTCGGATGCATTTGGGGAGGGGGGGTTTACAGGTAAATGAGCCTTATAACTGGGAGGGGGGGCTTGTAAGTGGGAGAGGGGGCTTAGAAACGGCAGTTTACGGTACATGGAGAATGAGAGTGAAAAACGTATGCATTTATTTAGTGTTTTTTTTTTTTTTTCCGGTATCAAGGAGACTGTATTGATTTGGATCTTGGAATTGGAAGTGGTAAAATCCCAGATAACAGTATAACCGCCTCCTCTGGAGTATCAGAAGCCAAGAATGGACGTTTGAACGAAATAAAAGCATGGTGTACATCTACAGGAGAAGCTAATCCTTATTTACAAATAGACCTGGAAACCATCCATATTGTCTGTTCTGTGTCAACACAAGGAAATCCAAATGCAGATCAGTGGATAGAGACCTACACAATCCAGGTATCAACTGATGGAACAACCTGGAAAGACTATAAGGAACATCGTCAAAACAAGGTACGCTTCTGCATTCCTTCCACTTTATCTATGCCAACTCTTGCATAAAAAAACAAAAACAACAACAACAAAACCGATAACAACCACAAACCAAATAGAGTGATTTTCGTATGACCTTGAAATGAAAACGCGCAAACAAAACAGAAACAACAAATGAACGGAAATAGAGCCATTTCATTGGTTTATCGAACGGATATATACAAACGCGCGTGGCTTTTGGTTGGTTAAGCGAACGCTCGGGTGAAATAACGTCATGCACGAGAACTTTCTAGAAATTAGTCGATACTTCGTTTTGACCTCATACACTGCAACTTAGATGTTGCAAGATTATTGACCTGTAAAATTCGGTTACATATTTTACACATATTGCAGAACTTAAGGACAAAAAGAAAATTTGACTTATAAACAATTAAACTGAAAAACTTTGACTTTAACAAAACGAGGAACTCTTTCGAAATGCAAATGAAAAGAGTTTATCTGTTACGTAATATATCAAACATGAGACGCAGTGTTTCATCACCAGATGAAACACCGAGAAGAGAGTTGAAAATACGACGCGCAGCGGAGTATTTTTGACGAACTGCGAGGTGTTTCATCTGGTGATGAAACACTTTGTCGAATGTTTGATATTTCTTCTCAAACAAAATCATTTTTGAAGGAGAAATTAAGGATGCAAATACTGAGCAGTTTTTCATCCGATTTCCAAACACTCATTAAGCATTAATTTTCTTTGTATTTTCTTTATGAATTATTAATGAGTTTGAGAAGTTTTATTACCTTAGTCATGAAATTAAAAACTCCATTAGAAGAACTGGTTGGTTCTTTAGCCTAATGACAATAATAATGATGTTGATTGCAACACTAATGAAATTGACGTGATTAATAGAAAGGACAATTTGATAAAAGCACTATAATTCTGTGACACTGACAATTTCAAACTTCCCTGGTTGTTGACGCAATCTCTATGGAAAATAGCTATGTTGTTCTTATAAAAACCCTGGGTAAATGTAGGTGCGTACTTATTTTCCCTATTTTGAAATGTAATAGATTGACTGTATCTATTTTGACGGTTTAATATGGCTGAACTGTTGTATTGTGATTAGACTTTCACAGGTAACAACGACAGATATACAGAGAATAAAAACATCCTCTCTGAAGGTGTTTTAGCGAAAACGCTGAGATTCATTGGCCAAACCAGTCACAACAAGTTCTGTCTGAGAACAGAAATATATGGAGTAAAACTAAAGCCAGGTAAACGATTTCTGCTTATAATTACCCCGGGGGAAGGGTTACCGCTCCGAATTCTTAGTGATTTGTGCCGCCCAGCTTTTCCAGTAGGCCCGGATTCTATTTCAGACCAGACAGGGAAAAAGTTCCATTTCCGGTTGCGTTCACGTGCGTCGTTCAAAAATGCTGAAATGACTTGATCAAATACAATCGTAAAGTACGAACATCATTTTGTAATTTTAAATTTTGGGGTGAATGAGTGGATAGTAACCGAGAAATTATGAAGATGCAGAGATGGTTAGAAATTCGAAGACTTTCGGAAAATCCGAGGCGAAGAGAGATTTCAACCCCGTCCCCAAAGTCTTCCTATTGGAAAACGAGAAGACCCTGGGTATGAGGATGAGGGAGAGATCTGGGTTGCAGACTTCACGCTGACCGCAAATTTTAAAATGGGCGCCAAAGAGAACACATTTCAGGCACCGATGAAGTAAGTTATCTTTATGCAGTTGTTAAGTTTTTGTCGGATTTCAGAACTCCCTGTGTTATTTTCACTTCTACCCGACCTTCGAAATCGAGGCGGCGTGGATGTCAAATGATAAAAAAGCGCTAGATGTTGGCGTGTTTGAGCCGTTTGATCAAGAATACAGGGCTACTCAAGTCCACCTTGTTGAGAGGCTTTGAAAATAACATATAACAATAGACGCTTTTGTTTTTTAATGATATGTTAATAAGTGGCCCTGTGTCCTGTAATCTAGCCGTAAATCTTTTCCAATCTTGACAGTGGAATTATTGGGCTATTGCATTTTAGTAATGCCCAACTAGTGGTCTATTATCAATGCTGCGGTCTGATTGGTTGAGCTACTACTAGGCTATATGATACGGCCCACTAGTAGCTAAAAGCGCGGGCTTTATGGCGGCAAAAAAGGATTAAAGTCTAGCTTTAACTAGCTAAAAGTTTTTTATTCTCGTTATTTTTTGGAAACTAGTTGGATTTTACTAAAACAATTATTCTTCTCGCCCTCATGGCCTCTGAGTCAATAGCCCATTCGGCCTTCAGCCTCATAGACTATTGACTCAGAGCCCATTCGGACTTGAGGAATAATTGTTAATAATATCCATACCCCCCACCACTGGCTGAGGACAAATGGAATTCTTCAGGGGTTAGTTACACAAACCGAGGATTTTTTTAGGGGTAGAGTAAAAAAAAAAAAGAAAAAATATATGTACATGGAATTCTTTGGAGGTGAAGATTTTTAGAGGTAAAACCATAATTTTTGAGGGGTAGATCAAACCATACTCATCAGGGGTACCACTATATTCTCCAGAGGTAGGAACCATATTGTTTTTAAGTCTTCATGGGTGATTTCAGTTTTATTTAATTGTCAGAAGAAGTAAAGTTATGTGCTCAACCGGTGGGGGTAGGGGATACGGTTATTAAATGCAGGAAATTCTAATTCACTTCTTTTTCCCCCGAAAATCCTGCCCTTCATCCTTTTTTCAGTAATTAAGAAAACAACTGAACTGCCTTCCTATGAAGTATGAGACCTATGTGACATACTTGGAACTAACCCTATGACAGCACATTAAAGATATTTGTACCTTGATAATTCTTACTTAACGCAGCTTAGAAAATATATAATAGATCAATTATAGCCCATCTGGTGGGGTATGGAGAGAAAAATGCCTCTCCTCATCTGATTTCTCACGCACCCTATTGTTGTCTATCACAGCATTAAACCAAATGAATTAGTCACAAGTATCTGCCAAACACATTTAATACTTGAAAACTACTAACAATTTGTATGAGCCTTCACTTTTCTGATATACTGGACTCTGCCTTTTTCACTGTTTGTGGTATCTGAAGCCTTACAGGTTATTTAAGAGAAACTTGTTTGTGAATCTTAAGTAACCTCCCTTTGTATAAAAAAGGCTGCTTCCCCGCACCACAGACAAAGCTAAACTATGGTTAATCTGTCTAGGAAACAACTAACGTTTGAATCTTTGTTCAGGGCCCCCACCCCTGTGTACCAGGATTTGAGTACGTGCCATGATTGGCCTCTTGTGGATTTGCTGATCAGTTTGAGAGGAAATTTCAAAACACTTCTGGCAATTAATTCCTTGAGTCCTTTTGGGGGCCTAAAACAATTATCTCGGTGCTGCTTCACAGAAGTTACTAACCAAGACTAAAATAAGTCTAAGTAAAGGCTTATGTTTCATTCAAAAAAAATATTTATATGAGCTTTATCTCCATAATATATAACCTGTGTAGAGAACCTAGCTTTTGGAAAGCGGACAGAACAAAGAAGAACCTGCTGTGGTGGCTGGTCTTGGAATGCAGTGGATGGAAATCTTGGTACAGATTTTAGTGTTAACCGTCAGTGTGCACATACACAGGAAGATAACCCCAGTTGGTGGTGGGTGGACCTAGGTTCAGACAAGGTGCCAGTCTCTGAGGTGCTCCTAGTCAACAGGTTCTCACCCCGTGAAGACATAAGACAAAGAAATGAGGACTTTGTACTAACATTAGGTCAGTAATTTTTGTTTTCGTTGTTTTGTTTTGTACTGTACTACTTATTACAACTACTTATTTTTTTTTCTCTACTTTTGCCTTATTTTATTTATTTTTTCTGCTGTATTCCTCTTCGTTATGGAAAAAAATGCGGCCAAACAAGCAGTAATAAGAGGTGCATAATTGTCAGAATTACTGTATAGTAACACAGAATATGGATTTCTGATTCGCTGTATTCTTTATGGCTGGGATATGTTGCTATTTCTGAATGGATTTAACCCCTTGGCTAATCCTGTATGACCAGCTGGTACAGACGAAATTTGGAAGCAATACTTGTATTATAGTCATGTTCCACCGATATGATGAATGTATTGCCAGCAATAGACATTCCCAACCTTGTTTGCAGGCAGTTGCTCGGCAGCCTACAGCGTAGCTGTTTTAGCAGGAGAAGTCAAGAAAATGGAGTAATAGTTCATAGCTATCGGAAGGCAATATGGCCAATTTAATTGCTTGAGTATGCAGAAAAATATAATTTGATGGTTGGCATTTACTTTTTGAGGAACATCTGCTTAGAAAAAATCCCTACCTTTATGTTCAATTTTTATTCTGTAACAAGAAACAGGGGAATATTATGAAGAAAGTCTATGATGAAGTTAGGCTATATATACCAGTCACATCATTATATTCTCAGCCTCATACAATAATGATAATAATTCCTCGAGCGAAGAGAGTTTATAATCTCGCCGCGCGCTAAACTGGAAGCCCCATGTTTTATCTATCTTTCTTACTACTGAATATATGGTTGGTGCCCGCCAACGACGTCATGTAGCGTTATGTCATGGAGCATTTTGCGTTTCCAGGCAACAAAGACTTTGCCGCCGATAGCCAGGGCGCATTTTCATGTTTATTCATGAAAAGCTGATGTGTTTATTCATCGTCTGTGAAACAGTGTTTACGATCGGTGAATCTCGAGCAATTTCCTATACAAATGACACATAACAGCAGCACAACAAGTGGCTGCAATTCCTCGCCGAGTAAGATTTTCCACCGAAATTCCTCTTGAGCGAGAACGCCGACTTGAAATTCAGCGTGAACAACGAAGGAGAAGACGTCAACAAGAAATCGCGGAGCAGAGAGAACATCGCTTAGCACAGCGAAAGCAACGCCGACAGCAAGAGACAGAGGAACAGAGGAACAGGAGACTGGAATATCCGAGGCATAGTGGCTGGAAATCCTTGCCGCTTTTTTTTTCTTAAATGAACCTTCGAATTCATATTAAATACAGCTCCACAAGGTTAAAACAGTGTGAATGGCGGAGAAAAACACTTCAACACTATTAATTTTAAGTTTCAAACTGCGTAGGGGACGCATGGCCCAGTGGTATGAGGCGTAAAAACAGGAACCACCCATGGGGGTGTAACACGTAGGATGTGTGGAAGAGCTGCAGAGACCCTTCCACATGTATTATACGCTCTTCTCACTTATGGTAATATGCCCGTCTAACTTCGTTTACGGGTAAAAATTCTTTTGAAATTCAAATACGAAAACGTCGTCTGATTAGCATTTCAAAGGACTTTTTACTCAAAAACGAGGTTAGACGGGCATATTACCATACGTGAGAAGAGCGTATTGGGGTGTTCCGCCCTAGCTCAATCAGAGTACTTGAACCGACACAATGCCGCGTTGAAGATGCTTTTATTCGAAAAAATAGAAGTGGATAGAAGTGTTTCAGTTCTAATTGATTGGAGGGTCCGGGTTCGAATCCCCTGGAAGCAAATCGTAACCTTATTTTTTTTTTTTTACCTGAGTATTGCATATAGCTAGTAACATAATTTGGTAAATTGAAAACAAAGTTTGCAGGAATATAAAAAATGCCGTGTGTATCATCCCCAGTACCGGTATTTTTAGCAATACTAGGAGCCCATACTGGGAGCCCATACCTCGCTAGCATAGCCAATACATGATCTTACAAACGTAAGATATAGGAATTTCCTATGATCTGTAGTGAATAACTGTGGCGCAAAAATGCGAGCTTCCTATTGGCTTTAGCCAAGATAGTGTCAATGTGAGTGTCCCATGTGAGGTCCGGCGAGATAGTCACTCCGAAGTCTTTTACTTGAGTGACGTGCTTAAGTGAGTTGTTGTTTAACTCGTAATCGTAGCGAAAATAGGTGGCGCTTACGTGTGACGGTTTGTACGACTTAGATTTAGAGGTGTTAGACTTTAGGTGCCAATTATCGGTCCAGCCATGCAAGACTGTCCAGGTCCTTTTGGAGTGACTCTTAATCTTGTAGACTTTCAATGACACCGGAACATTTTGAGTCATCAGCGAAGAGTGCGATACGATTCTGTATTACCGGTAGAAGGACGGAGGATACTGCCCTGAGGGACTTCTGATGGAACTGGAGAACGACTTGAGTGAAACCGTGGACCAAGCACTGCTAAGCGAGTCCACCTAGACAGCTCTCGAACCACTGCAGAAGTTTCCTGCTAACTCTGTACTGGGAGAATTTTAGAAGCAGCCTTTGGTAGGAGACACTGTGGAGGGCCTTTGCGAGATACAAATACACAATGTGCGACTGCAGGCCCTTATGTAGAGACCTGCTAATCGCGTGATAAAACGCCAGCAGCTGAGTGACAGTTGATCGACCCTGAAGGAAACCATGCCTTGCATTGGCAAACAAAGGACAGAGAGATTCCTCGAAGTGCTTGAATATGCATCGTTCTAATACTTTGGATACAACGCACAATAGAGAGATGGGTCTGTAGTTAGTTACGTCCTCCTTTTTGCCTTTCTTATGAACAAGGACGACAAGGGAGTCTTTCCATTCGGTGGGTAGTTTACCCTCCGCAAGAGATAAATTAAAGAGGGCGCAAAGGGAAGGTGTCAGTTCCCTTGCACGATTGTCGGAAGACCGCCAGGGCTGGAGCTTTGCTCGGGTTTAAATTCAAGAGCACCTTATAGACCTCATCTTCACACAGTACCAAGCTGTCAAGGACGGACATCCTCTCGTCGAGTGACGTAAACGCATCAAGGGGTATCTCGGGCGCATGCTAGACGTAGAAGAGAAATACTTGTTGAAGGCTTCTGCCATCTCCACTCCAGAGGAGATCTGTGGCCCTCCGTACGTAACATTAGCTGGTATAGAATTTGATTTGGTTTTATGGCGGAAGTCATAAAGTCACCAAGAGAAGTGTGATACTCCTCTAACTTCCTGTTTATCAATGCCTTAGATTCTTTTCTTAAGATCTTGAACTTTTCAAGGTAAAAAGCGCTGTTGTGCTTCTTGGCGGCACGTCTAGCGGATTAATTAAACTTCCAGTAAAAGGGCAATGTAATGGGTATTTTGACCTAAGAGGGGAAACCCTCCCTCATTTGTGCAATACTAGTCAAGGCCTGCGCTCCTTTTCTTACGCGGCATTTTGCGGGAAAAACAGAATGAGTGGTGGCCTTGCGAAAGGTCGGCTGTTTTGTCAGGCCTCAAAACAATTCTCACGTTTCTCTTGTCCGTATTATCGTATACGTAGCTGAAGTGACTTTAGGACTTTCGTTATGTTTTATTATATCAGGTAACAGCGCTGATGTAGTAAACAATTCTGCTTGCATTGGAGAGTACACTTTTATCCAGTTTATAGCTTCCGCGGTGTGTCACAGAAATCCACTGACGTCTGGCCGATATCTTGGAATTAAACCTACGAAAAGAGGGTTTCTTCAGCTTTGCGAGGGGGAAGTGTACTCGCGAGGTAACGTCTGATTCTTTAAATTTGAATTGCTCTTAGCCAACTTCCACTTGGTTTTAGGTTCAATGGACCTTTCCGCATTTTTTCAACATTTGGCATGGACTAGTTAGGGACACCACTGGAATGAGCGTCTTAAAATTAGTAAACTCGCCAAGTTTGAGGGTGATACGTCTTTAACTAGCAGCGAAAATACAGCTCCGCAAAATTGCGAAAAATTTGCAGACGGACGAGTTTGTTCTTAACACTATACAAAGGTCTGTAATGCTGCAGCAAATCACTCTCAAACTTGGCAGTTTTAATAATTTAAAGGCGTTCTTTCCTTAACTTGTCCATGTCAAAAGTTGGAAAAAAACGTGGAAAGGGTCTATTTGAGCAGAAAACTTAGAAAAAACCCTTGTTTCATGTAAGAATCAAACTCAAGACCCTCTGATTTCTAGTTCGGATGCTCTATACAGTAGGCTACTAGAGACTCTTGGGTGAGCAGGGTCGAAATTTAAATACAATTATACCAGTTATATTAATAACAAAATGCTATTGCGAGAAAAAAAGAGAGTGAAAGATCACGGTACTTAAAAAATTCAGTTATTGGTTATTAGGTGCAATTATAGTAAGTTCAATCAACATACACGCTGTAGACACAAAGGGAATAGAGGATATGTTTTATGAAGGTTAATTCGAGCTGTTGGTCAGGCTTGATGTCGCCTCATGTAAGGTAACCCAAGACAATCTTGGATTCTGGATTCCAAGCTGTGGATTCCGGATTTCTTTGTCAGTGGGACATGGATTCCGGATTCCCGACGACGACGTTGACTTTAGGTTGCAGTTTCGCCTCTTGTAAATACTGTCTTCGCTGTATGTGGTCTAACTGATGAACATCCGCGAGATGGTTAGCTAATCTGACGAGGTACTTCGCCCCACACGATGAAATAGGACAGTTTCTGCAAACTCTCTTGTAGACCATGTTGACAGTTCGATTGCTGAACACAAATGACATCTTTTTTCGCAAATAGTCTGGTTATACAGAGTGTCAGAAAGGCCAAACACAGGCCAGAAAGGCCATAACCAGGCCTGAAAGGCCAAAACCAGGCCAAAACGGACAAAAGGAGACAAACGGGCCATTTCTAGTCATGTGTCTTTATTTTCTCAAACACACGCGTGGGTGTCGCGCTCCGCTAGTCACCCAACAGCTCTCAACATTGGAATCATCATCTTTATTCAGGGTAATCACAAATAATAGTGCCTAATTAAAAAAGTTTTGATCGTGAATTAGTAATTGGTATTTCAAATTTCAGATTTTTTTATTTATTGTATCAGTTTACTAGTATTGTTATTATTTTTAAGTCAGCAATAAAACACTCTTAAAGTTTGGTTGTTTACAGTATTTATTGAACCGCAACAATACAAACGTCTAGGAAAAATAATTCTATAACATTCATAGTTGGACTAGTCCGCTTCTTGGACGTTCCACTTATTCGTTACTAGAATGTAGTTTATTCAAGAACCAAAAGAGCCAGGGTTTACTTTAGAACCACCTGTTGTTTTCTATAGAATTTTTATACCCTGTGCAATACTTTTTACAGAGTCAAGTAAACAAAGATTGACATTTTTGCTTGATAGGCAGTTTTTCGCTTCTCTGAGCTTCGACCTCGTTTTCATGTTTTGCCTGAAAAATTAGTACGATTTCGCATTCGCTTAACCTCCTTTTCCCTTCTTTTGAAGTAAAGATTTTTCAGTTAACCTTCGTGTCTTGGTTTTGTTTCTAACCGATTTTTAGTGAAAATAATTTAATGATTAAAGATTTTTCATTTAATATAATCTGCAAGGATAACACGTTCAAAATTTGCCCGCTTTTATTTTGAACACATAACAGTTTCTACAATATCCAATCAGAAGACTAGAGCAAACAATATCTAATCCGAAGACTATAGCAAATAGCTAATTATATAAAAATCACTTTTCTGTTTATAGATTATGATCTCAACATTTTTTGATGACGTGAACTCTAGGAAATGCGGACGTCACTTGCTCCTTGACAGCTACAAATAAACTATGACATCATCCTATCTTAATAGCACGCGTGACGTCATCGGCATTAATTTAAAGTATGACATCATCCTATCTTAATGAGATACATGACGTCATCTGCGTTAATTTATACCGCACAAAAACTTAATTAAATCCGCAAAGAAAAGGAGTAACCGGTGCCTCCCCTACTACTATTCTTCATTCGTAGTTCAATTTAACAAGTCATAATTTCAAAGACATGGGATATTTTGCTCTTTAAAGACTGTCGACATTTTTAACTTTACGCAAGCATGCGATCCGCTTAATATCACATGACAGTTCCGCTAAAATTTCTTATAATTATACATAATGTTGCAATGTTTGGACAATCAACCAATGAAAATCACTACCTGGTTTTCGGGTAATGAAGTCACTGGACGGCATTAGAGGATCGTTGATACAGACGTTCCTTATGCGACTCAAGGAGATGGCTGAAATTTAGGGTAATGAAATGAATTATATTAATTTTGAGCTGCGGATAAAGATATGAAAGTGAACATGATCTTTGCATTAGAATGAACAGCATTATTGAACAACCTCCTTGTTTCTTTGAAGAAAATTTAGCGTATCAAAAGAACACGAGTCAGTCAAGTACTCTTAACGATACGGGTGCTAGTGGCCACGCGGTGGATGGAGACAGTAATACTCTTTGGAATGGCGGATCATGTGCACACACGCTTAACGAAAAACAGCCCTGGTGGAGAGTAGACTAAAATTTCTTATAATTATACATAATGTTACAATGTTTGGACAATCAACCAATGAAAATCACTACCTGGTTTTCGGGTAATGAAGTCACTGGACGGCATTAGAGGATCGTTGATACAGACGTTCCTTATGCGACTCAAGGAGATGGCTGAAATTTAGGGTAATGAAATGAATTATATTAATTTTGAGCTGCGGATAAAGATATGAAAGTGAACATGATCTTTGCATTAGAATGAACAGCATTATTGAACAACCTCCTTGTTTCTTTGAAGAAAATTTAGCGTATCAAAAGAACACGAGTCAGTCAAGTACTCTTAACGATACGGGTGCTAGTGGCCACGCGGTGGATGGAGACAGTAATACTCTTTGGAATGGCGGATCATGTGCACACACGCTTAACGAAAAGCAGCCCTGGTGGAGAGTAGACTTAGGAAACGTGGAGCTAGTGAATGAAGTTTACGTCGTAAACAGAGGAGACTGTTGTGGGAACAGATTGAATCCTTTCGAGATCAGAGTGGGTGAGTAAACATTTTTGGTAAAGACAATGAATATTTTTGTTAGTGTGCGTGCATTTTACACTGCAGGTCACGAGATAAATACGTGCATTGGAGTCATATATTCATCTTAATAGCCCACGTTCAGTATATTAAAATTCTAACATGACTCCGAGGCTTTCTGGCCATTTTTCTATATTTAGTTTAGTTTTCTTTGTGCTCAAGTCTTTTCTGGGTATTGCGAGCCACTGA